TTATGGTTTGTGCCACACCCCTCTGAAAATGGAGGGATCCACAAGCTCCCTGCATGAATTTAGTTTTGTGTTTCTGCTCTGCACTCTCACCCTTGCGTTCTCAGCCTCAGCCGCAGGATTTCTGCTTCCTCTGGCGTTTGAATCCTCTACAACTGTGATGAGCACATTAACTCCTGTCTCCCAGAATTTACCTACAGTTGCCAACTGTGCCGGAGTGCGGAGTGCGAATTGGGAGGAGACTGCTATTGAGTCCCGGAATGTGGTGGGTGGGCGACCTGTCCCTCCCCTGCCTCACCCTTTTTCCGTTTTCTTGGCCTTCCTCTCTCTCTCTCTCTCTCTCTCTCTCTCTCTCTCTCTCTCCTCTTGAACTGACCGTGATAAGAGACTAAACTGCATTTTATAGTATTTTAGTTTCAGGGGCTAAGTCGTTTTTCATCAGAGAGAAATGACCGAGGTCTGTTCCTAAAATTGATTTCTCCTCTGAGCTCAAAGATATTTGGTAGAAGCCAAATATCCCTGTGAGACTCGCGCTGTGTCCCCTGGGCCGTGAGACAGCCGAGCACATTATGGAAGGTGTCCTAGGGGAGCTAGGAGAGAATCGGGTACGGGTGATGGCTGCAGGGAGGTGAGTCCTGGGCTAGCCAGAGCCTTCAGAGCTGCTGTGACCCGGAAGGGTCTCTAGGCGGCGCTGGAGAGCAGGGTAAAGGGACTGTAGGCAAGGGAACCAAGAAGCTTGTACACAGCCACCAGGAAATGCCTTGGGTATATCTGATGCCAAGCGCTGAGGTCATCGCAAGCCTCCAGCCAGCCCCTGCTTTTGTGACCTGAGTATGACCCATCCCCCACCCTTCCATTCCATTCCGAAAGGCAAAATTCCGAGGACATTTTCTCTTTCAGCCCTGCGTTCATGACACACTTAGGACTTGTCCCCTTTATGTCACGCCCACAAGACTGGAGAACTATAAGAAAAGCATCCTTATTTATTCTGGTGTCCTCTAGTCACATCTTAGCTGGTAGGGACAGGCAGTGACGCACAGGGTCCTTCACCTCTTTAAGTCTGAGTGAAGCAGATATAAGAGGAATTAAAATGTGTGTGCCGAAGGCTTTGGAAGCTGCCCCAGACTTTCCTAGAGTTTGCAGCGCCTTCACAACAAATGGGCGTTGGAGGTCAGTCTTGAGACAAATACAACAAGGAGACAGAGAGAAATAAGACAAAAAATGAGAATGAACTCCCAAGAGTGGGAAGAACTCCAAAGAAGGAAAAGCCAGATTTTACTCTTTTCACTTTATTACATTTAAAAGTACTTTCATTTGTGTGTATGCATGTGCATATGTGTATACATGTACACCAGGGTGCACGGATGGAGGTCAGATGACAACTTGCAGGAGGAATTGGTTCTATCCTTTCACTATAGAGGTTCCTAGGATTGAATTCAGGTCACCAGGCTTAGTGGCAAGCACCCTTACCCAATTGTGCCATCTTGTCAGCCCACTCCTGGCTATTTTTAAGTTAATTTTATTTTTATTATTTTTTATGTGTATGATGTTTTGCCTGCATGAATGTCATTGCACTGTGTGCATTCTTGGTGCCCACAGAGGCCAAAAGAATGTACCAGATCCCCTGGAACTGGAGTTACAGACAATTGTAAGCCAGCATGCGGTTGCTGAGAATCAAACTGGGTTCATCTAGACTGCTGAGTCCTATCTCCAGCCTCTCTGCTATTCTTGAAACAGAAATAAGGTGAGAAGTCAGAGGCTAGAGAAGCAACTCCGTGGCTTCTAGAAACACAGTGTGGCCTGATGCCACATGGATTCCCACTGGTATTGGTTTCCTGGGGCTGCTATAATACTTGTCAATGGCTTTAAACCAAACAAACATGTTGTCTTTGTCTTCGTCAAGATTTTTATTGCTGTGAAAAGACGCTATGACCACAGCAACTCTTATAAAGAAAACATTTAATTGGGGTGGCTCCCTTACACTTTCAGAGGTTCCATTCATTATCATCATTATGGTGAGTATGGCAGTGTGCAGGCGGACATGGTGCTGGAGCTGAGAGTTCTACATCTTGACTCAGAGGCAATAGGAAGTTGACTGGCTGACATACTGAGTGAAGCTTGAGAAAAGAGTTCTCAAAGCCTGCTCCCCGCCTCCCCCCCCCCCACACACACACAAGGCCATACTTCCTAATAGTGCCACTCCCTTTGGGGCCATTTTCTTTCAAACCACAGTCTCGCCGTTCTGTAGAGCAGATGTCTGCAATGGGTCTTATTTGACTGGAACCAAATACCCGTAGATCTGCATTTATTCTTCTTCAGATAAGGAGAGAATCCATTTCTTGGATTTTCCAGCTTCTAGAAGCCCCCCTGCCTTCTTTAGTTCTTGCTTCTCCCTCCCCTTTCTGACCCAGCAGAGGGGCACCTTCATGGCCATCCCTCCCCTCTCTCTTTACACTGTCGTCTTCTCTGGCTCTCCTCCTCTCTGATATGAACTCTTGTAATGACAACGTGCCTACCTGAATAATCCAGAATAACCCTTCCATCACCAAACCTTAACATCACCATCACAAATTTCCATTTGCCGACTGATGGCGTTGGTGTACACCTTTAATCACAGGACTCGGGAAGCAGAGGCAGACAGATCTCTGTGAGTTCAAGGACAGTCTGGTCTTCAGGGCAAATTCCAGGACAGGCTCCAAAGTTACAGAGAAACCCTGTCTTGAAAAACAAACAAAACAAAACAACAACAACAAAAAGAAGGCAGGCAGTGGTAGCATGTGCCTTTAATCCCAGCACTTGGGAGTCAGAGGCAGGCGGATTACTGCGAGTTCAAGGCCAGCCTGGTCTACAAAATTCGTTCTAGGACAGCCTCCAAAGCTACAGAGAAACCCTGTCTCGAAAAAAAAAAATCCCTTTGCCATCTTAGATAACAGTTAACCAGTTCCAAGGAATCAGAGACAAGAGATGTGAGGAGCTATAACATACCCTATAGCATCCGTATCACCCAGAGGCCAGAAACAAAAATTTATAGGTCCTTTGGAGGAAGCACCTTGATCCTTGAGGCTCCATCATGGATATTTCAGAAAATACAAAGAGTCACGTCTTGAGGACCAGGACCTTCAGAAAGAAGGAACTAAAAGGGAATGGAGGGCTTTGGTCAAAGGGTGCCTTGGCTCCACCGGTTTAGGGAGATGAACCCAAGGGTAAACATGGCCTTATGCCTATGTTGAGCCAGTCCTTGACAGCCATGTGGATATGACTCCAGCAGACTCCTATCTAAGAATGTTCTAGGTCACTTCTGTTACTATAAAAGTTGGTCAGCCCATGCCTCTACCAGTTGCTCCCGGAGGAGAGTTTTGGGACTCCCAGAATTCTGTCTCTTCATCAGTTACATGAGAATCCAAGATGTGATAGTTCTGATTTTAGCTGTCAAAAGTGATGTGCGACCTTGGAAAAGTCACACTCCTACTCCCTTTCCCTGTTGGAAAATACAGCCATGTGTCAGACATGATATTCTGTTGTTTTTATTGAGATCCATTGGTTTTTATTTGCTCTTTGGTCATTAATTTGGGTTAGAAAGCCTCCAACTGGGCTCTCAATAGCTGGAAACACATTGCTCCTCAGCAACTGAAAGATGATAAGGAATAACTACATACAACTAGAAATAGCTTCATACACACGTTCTTGTTTAGACAGCTCCCAACCAAGAGCTTTAGAACACTGCTCGAGACATGTCTTTGCACTGGTTTCCTGTGATGCTTTGACAGCAGAGAGGCTGTTCTGTATCATGTTCTGTCTGATTCTCAAGCATTTTTAAAGCACGAAACCTTAGCATCCTCCATGTTTTCTGTCATTACTGTCTATGAACACTGCAGAGCAAATGGCAGTGTGAGGAGTAAATAGCTTGTGCTTATGTGTATTGGTAACAGTGTCCCTCGTTCCTTGGTATTTATGAGAAAGAGCAAGGGAAGCATTTCTGGGTGTGTAATTAAATAAATAACATGTGTTCTTTTGATTAACAGCTGAAGCAATGGAAGGCATTTGAAGGAGAAAACCAAACAGTCAGAAGGATGGCCAAATATTTCAGCACCCCTAGCAAAAGCTTCCATAGCCAATTTGATGAGGACCAGAGCTGCCACTTGAGGGACGAGAAGAGCTGCATGGAGAGGCTCCTCACAGAAGTAAGCCCCACCTTGCCCAGGAGGTTCCCTGTGAGGAACGCCAGCCATGTGGGAGCAACCCTGCATGCCCTCATGGTCCCGCACGCCCTCAGGGCCCTTCATGTTCTCATGGTCCATGCATGTTTTCATGGCCCCACATGTTCTCATCGCCAACATCCTCTGTCCCAGTTGTTCTTCTAGTTTCCCCAACAGCAAGCAAAACCTCACCATCACCCCAGTGACCCTCGTCCATCTCTCTCATGTAACAGATAGGTGTAGACTGAGTCATTGTGCTACGAGTTGATGAACAGGACAAACTTGGTTCTTATGGAGTCCACAGTCAAGTGGAACAAATGGATATTGGTTAAGTAAACATTTAATCATAAACTGTGATAGGAAAGCCTGGAGATGAAGTGCAGCCGATAGAATGCTTATCTAGCTCACACAAAGGCCGGGCTTTCATCCCATGTCTACTAAACGGGGTGTGGTGGCATCTGCCTATAGTTCCAGCACTCAGGGAGTGAAGGCAAGAGAATCAGAAGTTCAAGGTCATCCTCAGATTACATAGGGAGTTCAAGGTCAGTCTGGGCTACATCATACTCTAGCTCCAGAACCAAAAAAGAAAAATTTGAAATTGTGATGATAATCCTGAAAGAAGCAAGGTGATAAATGAGAATAATGGGTTGTGGAAGGAGGAAAAGGAACCCAGAAGAATAGTCAGAAAAGACTCTGAATGAAGACTAATAGTAGAGAATCATTGGCCAGGGGAAGATTTAAAAAAATAAATCCATGCAGAGGGAACAGCATTGGAAAGAGCCTGAGCTCTAGGAGATATTAGGACCCCTGTGAACACTCTTTACAGTCATGCCATTGTGTCCAGGACCTGATGGGGCCTCTCTGTGACACCTCAGCCTTCTCAGTGCCCAGCATTCTCAGATGTGTCTACAGGTGTCAGTGGCAATGAACGAGGGTCTCTGGATGTCACCAAAGCATCAAGGCACCTTGGGTGCCCCAGCCTTTCTTTATTCTGTACTTGAACCACAATTGGCCCCTCTCCCAGACAAGCATAATGTGGGCTTGAAAAACCCAAGGACTGTGCTCCATAAGAAGGCAGCACAGGGCCCAGGT